GTCTTGACCAACAGTATCGCTCATTGATCACCAAGGTCTTGCAAACCAGTGTCGCTATCTTTTTTCCTTGTATCCCGGAACGTAAAAGGATGTTTCTGTTGAACTTGGACTTATCCGGACCGGACTACACGAGGCTATGCGTCTCCTAGCGCTTAGCTGTAGTCACTTACGTAGTATGTTACCATATTTGGGACTCTCTGCTCGTGTACTATAGCTATGCTTCCGGACTCTTCTGGTCATGTCTAGGACAATCCGTACTACTCCAGAACGGTCTAGACAGGTCTATGCCTTACTCATCTCTTACTCATCCTATGGTGCGATACGTTGCAATTCTTTCACCATCGTATTATTCATTGCACTATGGTACATGTGACTAACCACTCTTCGATTAGTCATGGACACTTCTCTGTAGTATATAAGGACTTCAGATTGTGTCCTCCCTCTTCAGTCTTTCCTTACTGACTGAAGATCTTGCTTCGACTCTAGTCGGATCTAATCTTTGTCTTCACAGCCCCAAGTTTATCAGTTTCTGCATTTCCGGCGGTGAATTGAGAAATTGCGCAAGAAGCGCTGGAGGGCAAGAGGTAGGGCAGCCTGCTGAGTGACAGAATGTCTTGTCTCTCCATTTGGAAGATGACCCCTAGCATATTCTATGTTGTCCAGATTGCCGTTGCACTCTCAAAGAAACAATATGGACGTTCCCTGAGCGAAAATTCAGCCTCTGGGCGCCTGATCTGCCCAATCCGGACAACATCATGCCGCCAGATGGCCTGATCTATAGTCCGGCCAAATTTGAGCACAAATCCGGAAGGCCTGGTCGAATCCGGACAGATTTGGCTCCCGGAAAGGCCTGATCCTTCGGACATTTATGGCAAGATTTTGGAAAATCGGATCATTCCTCTGAGTGAATAACCGGGGGTCCTCTTACCGAGGGGTCGGAGACCTTACCCCAAAAATGGATCTAAGATCGAGGAGCAAGCTGTCAGCGGAAGGAACCTGATTCCGAGCTTGGCCAGGTATCCGCGCCTCCGCTGACGGAATTTCTAGGGATGAGCTGTCGAAACCAGCTAGCCACAACGAGTTACCCCACAAAGGATACTCAGCATGTCGCTGCGGTCATAGTGAAGCCAGCGCGCTTCGACTCAGACGCGTCAATTTGCATCTACACCCCGAATCGGAGCGTTGGTAGTCAGGAAGACGCGCGCATTCCAGTTCCCATATTACCGAACCACGGCCGCATCGTGGTCAGTGATGCTGAGTTTCGTGCAGACCGAGCGAGGAGCCCTAAGTGCCTCCTCGTCATGAATGCGGGTTGAGGCTTGAGCCACTTGGTTCTACGGGGACCGTAGAGTGTTGTCGTTTCTACTTTGGTCATGAACACCTGATGGCCAAAGAGGCGTCGACGCGAGTCAAGGATCACGGTACGTCAACCGAAATGACCGTTCCGAGAGTGTACCGATGGGGTCAGCAGCTGCGATTGGCATGGCATGATTCGACGTACCCGTATCCCGGACATACTGTCGGTCATCCAGCTCCACGTCCATGTGTCTCCTGAAGTCAAGAGTCGCTGCCAGCCATGTTTCCAACATGAACACGAATCGTGCTATGAAGGTATCGCCGCCACCGCATAGAAGGTGTCTCACCGGGCATCAGCGTTCCACAAGATGCACACGTCAGAAGCGCAGACATGATGACGCATGCAAACGTCGCTGACAAGATAGGCGGCGAAGCGTTACTGCAGAAGAGCGGATTTATGTTCTGAACAGTCGCGAGTCCTACGCAAGATGCACGGAGAGAAGCATCCGCCCACCGCGGGCATGACCGCAATTCCCAGGAATTCGAAGCATGCCATATCAGGAGCTAGGAACCGGGGCTTGATGCGAATTGTTCTGTGCGGCATAGCCCTTACACACCTCCAGGACGCTTGGGCACTGATCACAGCAGCGAAGATCCTGAGATGCAGGTTTGCCAACTCACGAGAATTGAAGATGGCGACGGATCTGATTGCGAGACTACTTCCACGCCACTCGACCATTGTAAGAGCCACCACCTCAGGTACACCGGCGATATGAAGGATTCACGTGGGAAGCTGACCTATGCATGGGCAAACAGGCGTGTCGTCGCCCAATAGAGCAACTCACCTGTTCTCCACCTCGCGTCAATCTCATTTCACCACATCCTGCCGGCGCTGTTGACGCAGCTTGTGAACGAATGGCAAAAGGAGGGACGCTCAGCTTCCACGCCTGCCTGCGAACGCCTTGTGGCGCTCGCGATTTGTGGAGTGGGAGATGCGATATATGTGGGAGCAACTGCGGAATTGCCTGCGGAATGCGAATGCCGGTATAGCTACAGTAGCAAGACGTCTTCAAGAGACGGAGCCCAAGCGGAACATATGGGGAAAAGCGAGAGACGGAGGTTTCGTGTAATTACGAGACCTAGATTGAGCGCGGACGTCAGATTACTCCGCAGCTGCGGTGCGAGTGGCTTCGAGGTTATATTGCACGTTCTTGCGGTACTTGGTGACGAGGTCGGCGGCGGTCTTTACGTGCGTATCCGCCTGGATGATCTCCTGTAGAAGGAGGTAACGCGTCAGCTAAGAGGAAATAGAGTCAAACACCGCAATGAGATGAAGAACACGCCTCGAGACAACGGTTGAGTTCGAGAATGGCTTCCGTGCATTTATCCTACGGAAGAGAGATCAGAATAGGCCGCATGCTGGGTATATAGTGGGGAACGTACAGCGTTCTTGATGATGCGCTGGATGAGAACGTTCTGGCGCTCGGCATGGGGGTTCTCCATGTCGCAGACTACTACTAAGCGTCGGGATCGCGTTGTACGCGTCGACTGTGGCGGGCGCAGCTGAACAACGTGCCCTTAGCGGGCGTCTACTGCGCGCCCTGATCTAGGGCGCATCCATATATGGATGAAACTGTCAGAAGGCGATCGCGAACAGGGGCGCTCCGCAAAAGGCATTGCTCCCCTCGAATGCTCCACTTGGTCGACAGTGCCAGCTTGCGACGCCCATCGCTCAAGCCGCGAGCGCAACAGATGATTGGGAACCATGCCTGGCACAAGGCGGTATGTGGGATTATAGATGGGCGGGTTGTTAGCAACAACGAGGGCACTTCGCCCAAGTGGAGCAATTGACGTCACCGATAGATGAGGGTGCACACCTTGCGCGACAATCGCTCGCGGGATTTCCATGATTTCTTGTTCGCCGCCGACCCTCGAAATGTTCCCGGCTGCGCTTACCTTTCCCTCCTCTCCGACCCCGACCCCATCCTTCCCTCCAGCGACCGCCATGGTCGCCCTCTTCAAGACGGATTCCGTGCCCTACCGACCACTCTTCGCCGCCCCACGCTCGCTTTCTACAAAATTCCTTACTCTCCTATCCATCTTCTCCGTATTTTGTCTTGCTCCTTACCTCCTGCCCTCACATATCAAGCCCGACTTCCCCTCATTCCGTATACCAACAGGTCGCACACGCGGAACCTGTCCACCACGCTCATGGGCTGCAGGCCAGTGGGTTCCTAAGCCACCCCCGACGAACAGGACCGACTTCACGAAGCCGCAAGACGCATACGAGTTCCTTGGCTTCCAAGGCTGCGCTAGCTCTCGCGAGCACTGGTGGCATCTCGCCGCTGACAACGAGAAACTGTACGACCGGTTTCCCGGAGTCGCATCATGGGACTGGGCGACCCCGTCTGACTGTGAGGTTCGGCCGCTGAACCCGTCGGCGATCGTCAGGGACCTTGTCGAGCAAGGCGGTTGGCTCCTCATTGGTGGTGAGTATCACGCCTTCTGTGTCCTGACCACCTGGTGCTCTGTGCACCCGGCGGGAGTACGATCTTGCGTGCCTGTCACGTTCCGATGGAGGCGTCGTGCATACACTCGTCCGTCGAGGTAGCTCTACACTCGCACTGTCTGTCATGTGTGAGATCATGCAAGCTCACGGCCAGAGCGGTGACGACGTTTACCCCATTGCATCGACTCGAACATGCGATGTCGTTTCATGACTGTCCAGCGCGTTCTGTACCGCCGCTACCATGCACGCCTGAGCCGATCAGAACTAAATATAGGCTGACACCTTGTCTTGGCGCATCTAGATTCGGTGACTGAGAATCACTTCTTCTCGCTGTCGTGTCTCCTTTACCCGCACGTCCGTGCAACGCCGGACTACAACGAGAACCCGTACTATGACCGCGGCTATCCGCAGAATCTTTATCTGGAGCCATCGTCTCCTCTCGTACACTCAATCAAATTTCCGCGTGGCTTCGACATCGAGAAGACGCCGCTCGTCACTTTCCGCCGGATAGACCTCCTTCTCGAGCAGCCGCAGCTCGACCACATCTACCACTCGCTACACCCGGACTCGCAGTATGTCTCCGCGAACCAGAGCATCTTCAGCGACGAGGCGACCTGGAACACGTCCCCGCAAGAGTATGCCAAGATCTTCACGTCCCCGCTTCCTGAAGGCAACTACGGGACGATGATCGTCAGCACCGGTGGACACTGGACGACGACGCTCTTCAGCGGGCTGAAGGACGAGAGCATGTTCAAGGACGGCATTCAGAACGTCATCGACTTCTTTGGCGAGGCGATGGAGGTATGGGCTCGGGAGGTGCAGAGCCTGCTAGACGACGCCCAGGAGGAGGAGTGGAGGAAGTTGAGGAACAAGATCGGGCGCCTTACCGGAGGCTCTAAGCGCTCTCGACAGGTCGTCGTACGCGCGTACCTCCCCGGCCACGAAGACTGCCACAACTACAGGGCTCCCATCGAGACGTATAGCAAGGGCCGCTGGGGTTGGTACAACTGGAACCAAATCGATCTGTACAACGATGCGTTCGAGGTGAGTTTTTTGTCCCCACATTCGGATATAGTCCAGCACTCTGACATCGTGCGTATCATCAACCCGCAGGCGGTCCTGGAGTCGCGCAAGTTCCCCGACATCCACTTCCTCCCTATCGACAGACCGGCACTGCTCCGACCGGACGCCCATTCGGCGGGTGACTGTCTGCACATCATGTCCGGTGCGGGCGTGCTCGAGGGCTGGACGCACTACATCTGGCACTACGTCACTCGCGAACTCCCAGGGCGCATCCGGTAATGCACTCGGTTCCGTGCGCGACCGTCCCGCGTGCTTGCCCATGGGGACGGCATGGGGGACGCATGTTTCTGACGTCAACGCTCAGTCGTCGAAATCGACCTTCGATATGGAATCGCGTGTCGGGTCCGACGAGTATACGCGACGCCACCCATACATTCGCTTTCTGCCTACCCCAGAAACTCGACTTACACCATGCGAACGTTGTCCGTTCGTTCACATCATCGCGAGTCGTCGCATGCTAGTGCTCATGGCCCCACGTCATCCTATTCCTCCATCTCCAACAGTTGCATATACTTACGCATACCCCCATCTACTCCTTCCCCCGCTTTCGCGAACATTACTACACCTCCCACGTCATCTTGGATCCCCTCTCTACCACGCCGTTCGAGCACAGTTTGCCTTGCATCCATTCCCATTCCAGCGGCCGACATCCTACTTCGTGCGCTATCCCTAAATTGCTCTGTCCCCACTACATCACCTGCTCCATCTACCACAAGACCTCCTACCACTCATACACTATCGCGCAACAATCAAAGATGCCAGTGCTTTCGGACATCATGTCGTTATCTGTAGGGTACCGTGCCGCCGTTTAGACGCCTGCTTCGTAATCTTCCGATCCTTCCTCGACTTCTGCATTGTGCCTTTCTTTTGCTCTCGTTCCACCACTCTGCTCCCGCGCTTCGGGTGCGCAATAAGACCTGGAAGCACTGTGACACCTGGGATTGTAAATTCATAGCATCGAACACCTTTCAATCTTCTGGGTGCATAAAGTTTAGTAGCCTGTGCACGACTCTGTTTCGCACTGCCGTTTGCGAAGTATTGAGGCGTTGCACTAACCCCAATGTGTCAAGGCCATGGAGAGAGCTTACCTGGCGGGTGAATGGAGTGGCGCGGATCGTTTAGCTTTCGGGCTTCAGGAGCCAGGTGTGTTATGTTCCGACCTCATCGCTATGATTTACAGCGTTGAACTCTACCAGGTCCGGTACTACGACAGTCGGAGTGGACACCGATGATGGCTGGAAGTCAGGACGTGGATATTGCGCGGCTTCACCAGTACAAGACTGCAATGTCAAATTGGATTTCGATGCCGGTATGTGGATGCGTTCTGAAGGGGTAAAGTGAGTTCGATGCTGTGAGATCATATGGTATGGAAGCTAGCCTAAGACGCGCCGCCCACAGGAAGCTCCTGGAGCGATCGTTCCTTTGTTCTCAACCTGTGCAAACCGCCCGACGAGTGCGGGTTTCTTCAGACCGGTCCCATCGCAAATGTTAGCTCCCATACCCTCACGTCAGTGTCGACCACGGTTGACGTCTGCACGGGATGCCACCTCCCGGTATTCTGATTCTTTTCGGGCAGGTCTTGCATCTTCGTGTTCGGTGCTTGGGTTTGTGACAGCGCACCGAAGACATCCGACCCTCGCCGGGATCGCAATACATCTGCTTCATCGTGCCGTCTCGTCTGAGTGAATTTTCTATTTCGACTTCACCGTACATGCACTCAAAAATTGTGACGCTCCTATGGTGCATTTATGGATTTATCACGCAGTGCTCGAAAACCAGTAAATGCCTCGCCGGTCAGAACGGTCCATCTGTCTCAACTTCGACGCTTCGTGAGAAGCGTCGAGGCCACCAGTTCTATTATTACCTACCAGGCGAGATATAACTCCGTATCATGAAGGGTTTAGCGGTTAGATGCGGCGATAACGTGGTACGCATCTAATGACATTACTAACACGCGTCCGCAGAGCTTTGACAGCCTGGAAGGTAGCAGTTAGTATAGGATCCACGAAACACGCATACATATATTCCTTGCTTCGACATCTAGCACCTGCCAGGGACCCTCTACTTCACATCCTGTGAGCGGGGCTGCTGTTAATTTCACAACCCACTCTGATACATTCTCCTTTCGTGCCAGTTTCCAGCGACTCGCTACCTTACGCGTCAGCCGGACTCCAGACCCTTCGGTGTTACACACACGGCTCACTATGTCTCGTGAGTAACCTCATTGCGTAACATTGCCCTACTGACCACTTGTGCACCATCAGAAATTAGATTGCTCAATACCCGTACGGGGAAATTCGAGACTTTCACCGACCCGCAGACAGTCGATTATGCCATCCTCTCTCACGTATGGACCAAGGAGACATCAGGTCGACTCGCCGAGCAGGACCACCAGGACATCATTCGTCTCCAGCAACAATCATCCGATCCCAATTCGAGCATCCTCGTTAACGAGAGACTTTCTCCGAAGATACGACAGGCTTGCGAGCTCGCAAAGGCGGACGGTTACGAGTGGATCTGGATCGACTCCTGCTGCATCGACAAAGTGAGCAGCACCGAGCTGTCTCGGTCGATCAACTCCATGTACGACTGGTATCGCTACGCCTCGATTTGCTACGCCCACCTTGCCGATGTCGACGATGGCGATGCGGCGGCGACCGATGCTCCCGATCGACCTTCTGAAGCTCAGATTGTTCGGTTCCGCCAGAGTGCATGGTTCACTCGCGGCTGGACGCTCCAGGAGCTCATCGCGCCCTCTATGGTCGTCTTTCTATCCAAGAACTGGCGACGGATAGGCACAAAACACACGCTGGCTGCGGTCATAGAGGACGTGACCTCCGTCGATCGTCAGGTTCTACGGGGCCAGAGACCTCTATCAGATGTCTGCGTCGCTCAAAGGATGGCATGGGCCTGGAACCGGAGGACGACGATGGAGGAAGACAAGGCTTATTGTCTTGTAGGTATCTTCGGAGTACAGCTGGCGCCGATGTACGGAGAAGGCCACAATGCGTTCGTGCGGCTTCAGGAGGAGATCCTCAAACACATACCAGATCAGACCATCTTTGCTTGGGGTGACACTATGGAGTTGCGCGACTTGCGCAGTGCCCTCAGAGCAGGGGAACTTCCTCGCGCGTTCCCCCGCCAACACCTCGTCCCCCAGTCTGATTCTCCCCCGCTGTCAGATTCCTATCTGTTCGCATCATCCCCACAGAAGTTTTTGAGAGCTTCTGCCGGCCTCGCATTGCAGTCACTCTCACCTGATCTGGGGGCAGGCAACGCCGAATACACCATCACCCCCTATGGCATCCGGGCTACATTCCCTCTCATGCCCGTGGATCCTGACCACGAGGACGACTCCAGGACGTCCGAGTACTTTCTAGCTCTTCTCGGCTGCCGGGACCAATTGAAGGGTCGCAGTGTAGCACTTCTTCTCCGGAAGTTGAACAACGCGTTCATCCCGGCGTCGAGCCGCTCAGTCGGAGTCAAGTTCGACTCGGTCACGGCGAAGGAGACAACCTATATCCGTCTTGTACTCTTGGACGAGGCCGAAGCTCGGATTGGGCAGAAAGCGCTCTCAAGCATCATCTACGTCCCGTATCGCGCTACCCATACCACACAACAAATCGCAGATGACGCCCACTTCGAGACAGCACTACACTTCTCCCGTACACCCATCGAGATCACTATCCCATCGTGGTGTCGGAATCTTCTAGAGCGCCAAGGGTACAAGATCATACAAGACAACCGATACCACGGTGATACTTCTGTTACAGGATATCATGCTATCACGCTCGAGTCGCGGTCACAACAATCAGAAAATGTGAACCTGCAGCTTGGACATTGCTCGAAATGTGATGAGAAGGCGTTACGGGCGACGGTATCAGGCGACCCTTTGAAGGCCAACCATGCCAGGAGGTCCGCAGCCTCTTCAGATCGCGGATGCGCACAGGAGCATCTCAGATCTTGGCACACCTACGATCGCGCTGTCTCGAAGGTCTTCAACGTCCCCACCCCTTTTCTTGCCGATCGGTGTGTACAATTGACACTGCGCCTCAAAGATCGTTTCGGGAGCGTGTTGGGGCGCTACACTCTGGAGATCGAGATTTTGGACCTCGATCATCTCGGAAAGAAGAGTAGTCCACAGGCGAAGAGGAGTCAGTCTGGCATGGTCATTGGTGCACCGTATGGCATGGACCGTGTAGGCGGGCGTTCGCGTTCAGCTGACGGCACTGAAAGGAAGTTGGTTCCGGACGACCCACACTTCAGCGTAGGAGGCCCCTACACCACCGATAACATCCCAAGGCCGGCACCCCGCTACCTGACCAGGAGGTAAAGGTCTACTTACTTCTTTGCACATATCCATGCTCATAGAAGATCAGTTCTACAGCCCGATACCAGGATACACTCAGCAAATCCATTGTCCAACAACATAGACCTGTCGAAGAATCCGCTCCGACCCCGGGCCGAGCACCAAACAGGTATGTATACGTTGCTATGCTAGCATTGTAGCACCGTCAGGTCGTCGAACACATCGTTTACACCCAGATTGTACACAACGCCCCTTCCGCCGGCATCTCATTCCACGAGTCTTCCTGAGCAAGACTTCGGTGTAACAACGAAAGGATACCCTCGTCAGCAGCTCCAGTACCAATCACCCCATTCTGAGCTTTTCCCGAACCAGCCAGCCTCGTCTCATGAGGATATTGAAGGTCTTGTAATCCCTCGAAGATCTAGTCCAGTTTCTGCGGAGCTAGATATGGATAAGCCAGACTCTGAACCCAGGTCGAGCAAGAAACATGGAGCGCCGGCCGCTACCTTATACAGACCAATTGCACTACATGTGCAGCCTGCTCCATTGGCGGTTCAGACACCACCCATCGAATTTACTGCTCGAGGGACTGAACTCAACGTTACTGCGAACGTTGTCGACGAGGCTATGGGGGGCACTGCGAGGACAAATGCGGAAAGGGCGGACCCTACTTCGGCCAATGTCAGCGACACCACCACGGCGCAACTTCTTAAGGAGGTCTTTTCGAGGATTTTCGGAAGGAAGAAGAAGGGTAACCGTTAGCGACTAATTCTGGTCAGTCTCGTAGTGTTTTGCAAAACTAACGTTGACTCTTCACTGACACCATGGTTTATCCGGCAGCACGCAACCTCACATTAGATGTGGTCGCGCTAATTCACCTTGCTTTCTTGCATCCATCCTCCAACGGCTGTCTCAGGTGAAGAGCCGAGGTCGGCGCCCTGCTGTTATCGTGATGTCATATGTCGCAATGTTGCATCATAAGAAGTTGGTTTGCTGTTGACTGTCATCGACTTATCGCCCAGCTGCAAGGAGCCTCATTTCTTGAGTCTGAACGTGAACGATCAACAATGATTGGACTCGTGACAGCTACATATCGGTGGTACGAATAACACAGGCCGAGAAATTACCAGGAGGCGGGGACCTGAAACGCGGTATCATCCCAGTCGATTCGTTGCCTCAGAGCACTGGTGAGAATCAATTCTTGTGTATAAATCTTGTGATGTTGTGCGAGAGGCCGCCAGATCGACACGTCTTCGGGACAGGATATGACGAAACGGTTGCCATGCCCAGCCAGGATGCGAACAGTTGGTGTTTGTGTCGACACCTAAGCAAGCGAGTCAGAACAAGCATTTGTGCGGTCATGGCTACGAGCGAACCTGTCCGCCATTTGCTGTGACGACGTTCTTCAACAGCTTGGTCTCAACTGATACCTTAGGTGTGATGTAGAAGGTGATTCCTCTGAAGAGCTTTCCCGCGTTCTGCTTCGCCCGCTTGAGTGCGTCGTCTAGGCTGAAGCTGTACTTGTTCTCCGTGGTCTCGTCCTTGATGGCGTAATCCGCCTCAGCTGCATCACAGCCTATCAGCTCTACATGCAGTTCGACTATCGAAGACACTAAACTTACGTAGCAACTTCTTGTTTGCAGCAGACATAACCGCCCACTTCTCACTGAGGACATACGGAGCAACAGCCATCGCACACAGAAATTTCTCCGTTCGGACGACACTCTTCACGAGTAGATGTGTGCACTCTGTAGGCTTCGTAACAATCTTCACGCCCAACTTCGTCAACGCCTGGTAGAGAATGATATGAGCTTCGTAGGTGTCAAGGTTTGTTCACTTACCCTCAAGACGTCTTCAGAGAGCGTGAGCTGTGTCGTCATGACCCGTACGTCTTTCGTCGCCGCTGCTTCATTATTCGTTGTAGTGGACGTTCCAGGTTCCTTTGCTGGAGGGCTCTCCTCCAACCCAGCAGCCGCAGATTTCCTCCCCGCTTTCTTCTTGCCCTTCGCAGCCCCTTTCGCAGCATCTTCGACCTCATTCGGCTTCTGCTTCTTTCTCTCGGGCATCTCATCATCGTCCTCCTCGCTCCTTACGCCTTCCGACCCGATCGACCGCCTCTTCTTCCCCCCTCTAGCAGGCGCAGGCGTTTTGGCGGAATCCTTCGCGTCAGCGGTACCCTCGCGCGAAGCACGCACAGCGCCCCTCTTCATCTCCTTCTGGAACGAGACCACGTCGGGCATGATCACGTCGTGCAGCTTCCGCGTCGCTTTCGTCGCAGCGGACCGTTTCGACGGCGTCCGCGTCATCTTCTCCGGGCTCGCAAGCGTCGACGTCGATGCACGGCTCGGGCCCGCCTCCGCGTTCTCGATTGAGGACGACTTACGCCCTGCCTTGGTCGCCGCAGGCGGTGGAGGTTCAGATCGTCCGGACTCAGAGGGTGCAGCCGCACGTGTAGGTTTCTTCGTCTTGCCTCCGCGAGCAGGTGCTGCGTCCTCGTCCTCGTCTGCGGGAGCACTCTTCGCAGTCTTCTTCGAAGGTCCAACTTTCTGCGGGCTCACCTTTCCGCTCTGCCTAGCCGGGGAACCATACACCTCCGCGACAGTAGGCACGAGAACAGAGTCGAGCCGCTGAGGTGTTCGACCGACCTTCGTCGGGGAAGTCGCCCCCGCGCGAGCCTTGCCCTTCCCGTTGGGGAGCAGGTCGCCGAGCACGGAGCGTATGTCCTCTTCTGTGGACTCCGACTCCGAGTCGCTGCTCAGCTCGAGAAGCTTGTGTTTCTTCGACTGCGCTGCGGGCTGCTCCTTCGCTTTCGCCTTCTCCTTGCCCTTTGCGGCGCGTGTGTTGACCGGTTTCCTAGCCTCCTGCTTCTTCGCCATTGCCCTTGTCTTTGCCACAGGTAACTGGTCATCACTCGACTCCTCCGCCGTCGCGACGTCCTCGTCGGCAGGCGCAGCCTTCCATCGCGTACTCTGTGGTTTTTTGACTGGCGACGGCGACTCCGTCTGCGCGTCATCGTCGCGCTCGCGCTGAACACGCTTCGCCTTCGCGCTCCCGTATGTCTTCGCGTGGCGCTTCACAGGGGATGGCGTCGTCACCGCATCGCGCGGGGGCGTGACGTCCTCGGCATCCTCGTCCGGCTCAGCCTCGTCGTCGGTCTTGCGCGGGGTATATCGCCGCACGAGCTTCCTCTTCGCAGGGACCTTGGTATCAGCCTCCTTCTCGGGCGCTGGGCGCTTCGTCGGGGGGTCTTGCTTCGTGACTGGGGACTGGCTCGGGCCAGCTCCTGCGTCCTCTTCTTCATCCCCGTCGATGTCCATCTCGTCACGAGCCTGCCGGCGCCCTTTGGGCTTCAGATCCGAGAAGGACGCGTCGACGTCCATCTGCGCGCCCACGCTGACCTCGCCCTCGTTCTCGTCCATCGCGACGGCCTCCTCGACCTCGCCCGCGCTTTGCGCCGTCCCGTGTAGGACCCCTCCCTCTCCCTCCTCGTCATTGTCCTGCTCAGCGCGCCGCTTCTTCTTGACCTTCGCCGGACTCGCGCTCGCGCTCTTGCTCTTCCGCCGACTTCTCCTCGGGGTCGCCCCCTGCTCTCCGGCCTCTTCGTGCATCTCGACATCCTCATCTGTTCCTGCCTCTGGGGCGCGCTGCATGTCCTCGAGCTGGCCGGGCTCCCAAGAGATGCGGCCGATGCCGCGTTCAGCGAGGACGGTGGAGAAGTCGACTCCTGGGGGGAAGACGATGTACTTTTCGCGGGCGGGGGTGAGGCGGCGCCACTGGACGAAGCAGTCCTCGACCCAGGTGTGATTGACGATCGGGATTGACCATGATGTTGCTTTGTCCGTCTTTGTTCCATGTAGACTGTGTGTGGATTCAAGTCGGACAAGAGGAGAGAGCAATTACGTGAGATAGAGGGTGAGAAGAACGGAATATGAGGTACGAGACGTACTACGCTGCGACGACGATGGTGTTGTGCTCGGCGGACATGGACGCAGTGAACTCACCACCCATGAGCGTGATGAGCTTTTTGAGGTACTCGCGATCCTTGCCCGTGTAGTTCGTTACGGTAACGACCTAACACTTGATCAATATTCAATGCGAGGACTTTTCATGGAAGTGCGACCCCACCTCCTTGTCGAAGCCGTCTGCAGGTTTGTCAGGAATGGGGTAGTGTAGGAGCTGATCAGCGGGTCGGGTGAGCGTGCCTGTCGCGCGCACGTACCACAACCACGCTAGGGTGCCGATTGTCTTCTTCTGCTGATATGCCTGCACGCACACGACGGGTCATGAGCGCGACTTCTACAGTGTAGAAGATTGGCGATACTCACTTTCGCGTACGCAGCCCCAGTTCTGTACCGCGTGACAAAGATGTCCGCTTCGTCTATCTTCGCAACCTCCTCTTGCGCCCGATCCGCTGCCTTCACCGACTTTGGCGAGGACAGCTCGACGACTTCGCCACCCTGGCGTCGAATGTCGGCGTAGAGAGCCTTCCTCTGGTGCTCCGACAGGTCGAGCGACAACCCAAGCAGCAGTTTCTTCCCTTTCCAGACGTTCCGCGACGCAGGGCGCACCTTCCTTTGTTCGTCGTTCGACATTGACGCGGTCTCGTAGAGCATCATACGCTCCGAGGGAGGCTCGTAGTCCTCGTCCTCCTGCGTCGTCCGTCCCTCAGGTCTTTGTTGGAAGACGCGCGGTTCTGGCCATTCATAGTGACGCGTTGGGAGGTCCCGGATACCTAGACGCACCGTGTCGTCGAACCAGTGTGGGACAAGGACGCGTACGCCCGTCTGTTCGCGGTAGTGCATCGCAGTCTCGTACTTTGCGCTCCCGGGGGCGAGAGCAAAGAGGTGGGTGACATCACGGGTGAGAGCGGTGCGCCACTGCCCACCGAGGGCTGTCACTGCAGCAGAAATAAGTTCGCAGTCGGATTTGGAGAGGTCCGTCGCGGCAGCGACCACGCCAGAGAAGAGGAATGCGGGGTCGGCGTAGTAGTACTCAGGGTCCTGAGTCGAATCCAGGACGGCTGAGCGTTCTACCCAGAAGGGGGTGACGGTATGTGCTGGGGAGTCTTCGGGGAGAGACTCGACAAACTCTTCGAGGGGTAAAGAGGTGGTGATGAAGTGGGTTAGCCTAGGATCTGCGACGGGGACTGGGGTGCCGCCGCGGACGTCGAGAACCTCGCTGAGCTGGTCGCGTTTCTCGAGAGGGATTGTCTCAGAAATGTAGTAGTATACACCATCAAAAATAGTCTTGGGCATGCTAGGAGGATACGCAAAGATAGTCGGGTGGAGGAGGATGAGAGGAGGGCGGCGGTCGCGCCCAAAGTATCGAGTCGGTCGTCGATCGAGGGTGGCAGCGCGTCTCTGCGGACACGGTCGCGTCGACCACGTGCCGGTGCAACCTCAGCCTAACGGAGCCCCACGAGCTCCCTTTCCTTCATTCACTTCCTCTTTGTCGTCTAACACCTTGCGGTGTGAGGTCCTGGCTTTTCAAGCTTGCTATGTCTCACAAAACTGTCACGGAATCTGCATACCGCTCGCTCAAGACAGACAGCTGATGAGTTCTGATTCAACTTCTTGGTCCAAGGACTACGCGCCATTCATCTGCGACCACCTAGCAAAACGGCTAAGTCGCACTAACCTCTGATACGGTGAGTACTACTATCTACATGAATGCCACCACTGGACATCCTCTAGTCGCGTACAAGTCTGAGCTTGAACTCAATCCTGGGCAAAAAGCGCTTCTTCCGCTTCTTCGTCTCCGCTGGTGCGTTTGCTGTTGGGTCAGCGTTCAGCCCTTGCGCGGCTGGTCGCGAAATTGAAGTTGCACCGGGACTTTCAGCGACGACGGGACCTGCAGACGATAAGCTAGGGGGCGCAGGCTCCGCGCCAGGAGCAAGAGCAGGAGCAGGCGGTACTGCACGCCCAGCGGCATGCGAGGCTGCGGAGGCTGGAAGAGGAGGACGTTGCGTGAGCGTCCGCTCCGCTTCCATATTCTCATCCTGTTCAAAAGCACTCGGGTATCCCGTTGGCTGTCCAGTGCGGCCATGAAGGGCGATCTGCGGGGCTACGACGTCAGCTGGAAAACCATTCGGTTCCTGTCGTGCCTCCGGGACTCCCATAGCCTTGCCGTCTTCATAACTTCCGGATAGCCCTAGCACCTCTGGTGGACTCCTATACGAGTACGCTGGCCTCGTAGCAACCTCTTCTGGATGAGGGTGATAGCTATTCGCTTGACTTCCGATCGGGGAAGGGCTGTGCGTGCGCATCATATTCAGATTCGCATAAGGCCCATCATGGTCCTGCCTATGAGCCTCGGCCTGGTATATCCCACCGTGTTGGATGGCACGATGCTCGCCTACATGGCTTGTAGGTGCTTGCCACGCTCCTCGACCATCGTTGAGATAGTGGGACTGCCACAATTCCAGCTGCGTATGGAGCCTCCGGGTGCTCGACCGTTGGGTGTACCGCGGACAGGTCATTCGGCCGGTGGAATCCCTTTCCAGGCTGTACGTACGTTGTAGTTTGCAGCCTATGCCTGCAAGTATCCACATAAGGGTGATTCAATGCAGACGCTATATCACATGCGTACGTACCGCTGCGGCGTACGAACAGTCGGCGCTTGAGAACCCTACCGACCAGGAGGAGATGTTTGTTCTGCGGTCCCAGCAGCATTGTAGGTGCTTAGAATACCTGGCCCCGCGGTAGTGAACTGCCTGGATGGTACGGGCATAGCTGGTTGTGGCCGTCGCTGATACAATTCTGGGTCCGCATAAGATCAGAAACCCACCAGCGTACGCATGACATCTCCGCACAGATATGCTTACCTGTGTTCATTTGAAGGTCGTCGAATGCGACAGCTCGATGAGTGTTAGTGTTCATACGAGGGCGTTGCAATGTGCTCTGAGAGTAGTCGGCGGAGTATTCACCCTGAGCGTTGTACAGCGTCGAACCAGAAGCTCTCTCGAATGTGGAATTGTGCGAACAGTCCCGTTTCCGGTAAAGCGCGTGAGGTATCCTGGGAACGTCAGGCGCAGACCGCACAAGTTGTGTTGATTGCGACTGGTCACTCTGAGCGCTCGGACTCGGCGTGTCAGACATCAGGTTGCTCTGCGGAGCAAGGGTGTCGGGAATGGGGCAGATGTCCGCCCCAGGGTCGAGATGGAGCACCTCGACGTCCAGCACGTACGACCGCTCCGACGGCCTCCCAGGGTTCTCGAGGCTGAGCGTGAGCCGAAGATGTCGGGAGGCAGAGCTCTTCGGAGGTAACTTGAAGGCCGTCCACGCCATGCCGTCGCAGCATTCCCAGTTGCTGACATGCGTCTTCCTGCAGGATGTCTCGGGCGGAGAGGGCGCAGTCGGGTGAATCCTGGCCCGTAGGTAACCTTGCGACGACGTGTCGCAGTCAGTGCAGTATCCGAAGTCGATCTCGATGACATCCTGGCCGCAATGGAGCAAGAACTTGTTCGATCTTCCTGCAGCCAGAGATGGTTCGATGCGGTACCCATTCTTCGTCAGGAGGGTTGGGCACCAGCGAGAAAGGGTTATGTTCACCACTTCCTTCGGCCGCATAAGGTACAGCGAGCTGTCGTGCGACAACTCCTGCTATATCAGGGGCAGGGAGTGTTGTACGTATACCTTGCGGTCCGCGAGGATTCTGGTGCGGCACGCTGAGATCTGCTCTTGAGACAGGACAGCTAGACGGTAGTAGCGGTCGCCGATCTCTGACGCCATTAGGTTGGGTCTGCTCAGTCGGAACTGGGCTTGGAAGGGCAAGCAGAAGCCGACATGCATGATCGACTCGGAATTGGATGGAGGGCTACGTGGGCGGCGGAGTATGAGCGCGAGCAGACGGCCTTCCTTATCCTGACAAGCGAGGAAAGCAAGATGGAGCTCTTCTCCCTCGCTCCCATACTCAGAGAAAGGGAGCGTGGGGAGCGTCATGTGCATCCCGTACGAGGTGATGGCGTAACGCGGATACTCGACGTCCACGCCGAGTCTCTCTGATAGTTGTGCACGTGAGATAGTGGAGAGAGATATCGATGGGGCCCTTGAATGCCTTGGGAGATGTCGCGAGGAGGTATGGCCAGGATCGACCACGTATGTCAACGTCGCTGAGGGGCCGGGGGAGGCAACCAGTGCAGTGGCGCTAGGAGATGGCTCACTCAGCGAGAGGGAGTCACGGCGCTGACCCCATGCGAAGATGCTCTGTCCTCGACCTTCGTCGTGACCCGATCGGACGCCCATGACATACGCTCTGCGACGGAGGCGTCGGAAAGCTTTCGTCGGCCTCGCAGAATCTGAGTATCGATGGAGGTGACATCGTGAATGTCTTTCGCCAGGCTGTGCTTGGTCCCGATCACAGCCCAGGTCTTGGAAAGAAATAGTACGGTGTTCGGAGCCAGGAGTTCCTGAAGTGTCCAGCCACGCTTGAACCACTCAGCGCGGCGGAATTGAGAGTTCGTTATGTGGGGATTGTCTCCGTCTTCGACATCCCAGAGGTGAGCGTAGCATACCTCTGCGCACCGATACCACCGATACATCGAATTGAGAGCTTCGGACAGCTCCGCGCTACTTGTCTTATCGATGCAACACGAGTCTATCCAGATGTACTGGAATTCATGCTGCCGCGCAACCTCGCATGCTTTCCGGATCTTGGGGGAGAGAATCTTGTTGAACTCCGAGTCTTCCTGATCAAGCCGCTAGATTTCGAGGACTTTCTGGAGCGTTTGCTCTCCATCCTTGGCCCAGACGTGGGATAGAATAGCGTAGCGGACCTCGTGTGGATCGTCAAACCACTTGAATTGTAAGGTACTCGTATCGAGGAGGCGCATATTGAGCTTGTGAGATGACGTTTCATCACCCATGAGTTCGCACGTATGCATTGAATGAAACGGATGGAAAACATATAGCAACAGGATGGAACGAATATATGGAATCTTCGCAACCGCGATGAGTCTCTGCTGGTGACTGCTGGGATTGAATTGCGAAAGCGACTCCGTCAGCCTCAGAATGAATACTCATGCAGAGGTGTAACCGTTTAAGTATCGACGTAAAATTGTCTTAGTGTCTTAGGCCACTGGTAGAGGAGGATGGGTTGGATACGTTGTGCAGCCGCCACATCCTGGACGTATATAGCATCGGAGCCTGAGACCATGTGGCCGGAACCAGTTCTGTGCGTCAACAACATAAGGGCAGGCACCTTCGGTGGACAATGGCAGTTACCATGCGCCCACAATTCTCTGAATTCCAACCAATGCGAGCGGTGATGAAAACAGCATATTCGGCTTCTATCATTCTCATGCATGAGGTATGCACGAGGGCATGGGAAGCGTGGCGCTAGGAGAACCACACGGGACTAGTTCCTCTGCCTTTACAGAAACGTGAGCGGTGATAGGCAGTGTTTGTACCGGCACCTATCCACTGCAGGGCCTACACTGCCAATTTACTCCGAAGCGCTGACGCGCGGCTTGCGAGTCGTTATCGTGCGTGGCGTGTCTTGATGCTACTGAGGCGGCGCAATACTGGTTTACCTTATATTCATGGTGTGAGTAGGAGCGGGCACTGAGAGCTCTACCACGTATGTGAAGGTGAGGGTCATTCTGGCCGATGGAGTAGTAGACTCTCCGGAGTCTGCAATTCCGACTCCGTACTAGGAGTCTTGTCCTGACGTCCCTGCAGTTCAACCGTCAGCGTCTCAGGAATCCTATCCTCTTCCCAGATGTCATAGCCACGGCCAATTCCAATGCAATTTTCATGGGCCTGCCCAAATGTATAGGCGGGAATATGGCCAGCCGTCTCATGCATGCGCAGCTGATAGGAGAACTCCTCGAGAGCGCCGTAATCAAGTATGGGGATTCGCATCGGAACAGAGAGGAATGGGGCTCGAAGACTGGAGGGTAGGAGAACTGGCAAGGGACAGAATGAGAGGGCTCAGCTAGACTGGGCGGAGTCACACCGCGTCGTCGTCATGTAGATCTGCATTGAGATAGTACATGAACACGTTCGAGACTACACCGTCCATGTATTCATATTTTTGCCCTTCTGTGACATGTGAGGTCTGTTCTTTGTTAAGCTTCTGGAGTATATCATTCCCTGACTGACTTTAGACGCACCTCGAGAACACTATACTTTGAGCAGCAGCTCCTCAGATGGAGCTACTTGCCTTCGGATCCTCATAGGACACATGAATGCTGACCAGATTTTGGACCATGTCCGCCCATCCTACAGACCCGAGAAGGACAGGGCCTACATCAGACTTTCCATGAATCGAGTGAAAGATGCCATAAAAGAGGGAGCGTCCCGCAAATGCAGATTTCTCAAAGGCTCGATCAATCTCCGATTGAGAAAAAATACCCGGCCGGTCCCAGATGGTGAATGTGTAGACTGTCTGCTTGAAACCCTTGTAACCGCGTTCAGCATGATTTTCAGGATATACGACTGGTCGGATGGAACACCGGACGGTGGAAGAGACATACCATGTATCCGATGTCGCTTAAACCTTTCCTGCCGACGGCGAACTTGGTCTTCTTGCAGTACACCATAAACTGAGGCACAGGCCACTCTACGCTTGCAATACGTATACATGAGGGAGCCACATAATTGTGTAGGAGTCGTAAAGCGCAACTTACCGACTACTTGTAGAAGTCCTGGCTCATTCGCGCTCGCAGTCGCTCCCGTATAGGATGGAAGTTCCAGCGAGTTGGGAACCGTCTCGTCTTCAGTCGCCTGCTTGAGCTGACTGTCTTTCTCCGACATCTTGTAGAATGAGAGGATGAAACAACCTCACGGAGAGAATCGATGATTCGTCACCGTGGAGCTACCCCGCGTTAGTACCCCGTGGGCGGCTTACCTCCAAAGCACGTGCGCACGGTCTTTACCGACAACAAACCAAAGCTAGAAAGCTAGAATATGACAGGGCCTAGAAACAAGCAACAAACGTAGATACAATCACGGGATGGCAGCGCGGAGCTAGATGAACAGCGATCTCAAATCAGATAGTCATTGGAGGATGGATGAAGCTCACAAACTCTAGAGCATCGTAGGCTTGTACTCAGTATGACTTTCCGTCGACATCTTTCCCGTTCATGTGACAGAGAGTGTCGAAGATAACAGCATCGAAAAAGCACCCTTCGCCGTCGTAGTGCGAGTTCTCGAATGCCACACCTGGTTCTGAAAGGACCCAAACGAAAGAGACAATCATAGCTACTCTGACTCGATAAATTTTTTGTTCGGCAACAGGAAAATGCTCACTGACGCTATCCGGTCTCCTCAGTCGCACCCTTGGTGAATGCAAGATTACAAGCGCCCAAGAGTGTAAGGATGCACGACAGACGAGATAGGAAGGAGCAGTGATGGTGGCGCAACAGCGCGGTTAGTCCCAATAAGGTAGCGCCCCCTGGCGCTACTTACCGTAGTCACTCGCTTGCCATCTGCTACTCTTTCTGCGGGCAGCGGCAGGGCACAAGAACGTTCATATCAATTACTGTAAACTCTACATCCATGACACGCCAAAATAGATCACTAATTGGGCCTTCTGCGGAGAATATTGTGCGGGATTCCGAACGGTGGACTAAAGGCTGACTCGTCTAATCGCCGGAGTCCGACGTGTCACCGTAGGCCGACCGTAGGTCCAGGCGGGATCCGAGGCACGTCCAGGCTGAGTGATATTAATCTTGCATGCACAATTCTCAATGTCACGACTTAATCAGCAGCAGTGTCCCACAATATGATGAGGCAAGAGCATGTAACGTCTTTCTCATGATCATAGCGGCGTGACTGATGTCCTAATACTTATCGTCCCCCGTCTTCTCGTAGTACAATTCTATTTTCACAATGTTTGTCATCATTTGCGCCCAGCCCACCTCACTCAGAGGAACGGGGCCCAGGTCGTCCTCCCCGTGTATGTGATAGAATGTGCCCAGAAGAGAGGCCTCCTTCGAGAACTGGGACTGGTTGAAGTGGATTGCAGGGTTGTATGTGTCGTACACCCTCTTCGGTTTCCATAGAAAGCTCTTGTGTATCCACTCTAGAAGTCCCTATTGGGCGTGTTTAGCCGAAATTGCACTGGAGTGTGAAGGAGTGGGCTACGTACCCTGTGCCCCATTTCCGCGATGGCTTGTCTCCCGCACGCATATTCGACGTCACCAATAAAGACCATGATGTGAGGTACAGGCCATGTTATACGAGCTAGCACGATACACCATGTGCTATGTCAAAGACAATAGGATGATAGCTAGCAAAGCACACACTCACCGATGAAGTCAGGGCGAAACGTCTTGCCAGCGAAACCCTTCTGTTCCGCGGTGTGCGAAAGCTGGAGCGCGACGGTCGCAGTTTCTGCATTCGGGGACTGGTCACCTAGCGTGGACTTTTCTTGGTCGATAGTCTGGTCCTGCGTCTGTTTCTGTTCGTCGAGCATCCTTGTTCAGTGTGGTCGTCGACTCCTAGGTTGCAGAGACGGATGATAGAGTCGCCCAGAAGAGCGCCCCTCGCGGTCGTATGCTTCGTGGCCGCAGCACCGAACGCCGGATGCTACAAGTCGGTAACTTACTTTCCTTATCTGAAATAGTGACTGCATCAGCAAAACCAGCAACTAATGGTCTGGCATGGTCACGGCGCCCGAAACCGGCCTACCCTGTCCGGAATCCGCAAGCGCTGCCTGAAACTGGCCAACTTCCGTCTCGCCTGACGGATTCTGGCCGTTGAGCATCTGCGCGGATGAATCCTGGCAATGGTAGATAGGCATACATCTTGCCCTGCTGATTCTGATCATTGACTTGTTATTGCTATCCGTTGCACCACAGCCGCCTCCCTCTCTCTCGAGCGCGCTCCCGATCATCCTCCTCTCCGCCTCCGCGCGTGCCGCCTCCAGGTCTCTGCGCTCCTCCTGCTTGTGCGTCATGCGCCAGGATTTTTGAGCGCGGATGTACACCTCTTCCTCACCGCTCCAGTCATGAGCGATACGGGGCGAAGGAGGACACATGGGCACACTGCGTTTTGCTTGCGACTCTCACTGACCCCACCGTGGAGAGCGCCGAGGTGTCAATCGACAGCCGCAGTACTGTCTGCCTCAAATGGTGATGTTCCCTTCATGATCCTCACCCTTCTAAGCTTCTATATTGACTCTCAACAAATCACTCAAGCCTGCTCATCGATGACACAGTCTATACTTGCAACAAATCCAACAGCCTGTCATCCTGCCAACCCTGCCCTGAAGTGTCGCTCTCAAAACCCCTTACCTCTCGGCTGTACTCCTTCAAGTCCATCTTTACCCGGCTCAACCACGAGCGTGCGCCCATGAAGCTCTCCACCCACCGCAACTTCGTGTTCACGCTTCACGGCGTTGTCTACCTCCGCTACAACTCCTTCGCCACTCCCCACGATCTCAAGAAGCAGGTCTGCGCATACAACCCCACCCGCTTCGAGATCGGCCTCGTCTACTTCGCACGCGTATGTGCCTTCCTGCTTTTGCCAGCCATCATGCACATCTCACTCCAAACCCCGCCTGCAACCCCATTAAGAAGACAGTCCGCTCAGTCGCCTTCGCCCCGCAGCTCCGCGAGCTCATCATCAACATGGGTATGTTTGACTGCGTCACCGCTGACATCTGCTGCCGCTGCTAACAATTCATCATGGCCGCCGTCCACTTCCTCCTTGCTCTCGCCCTCTCTGTGCGTCGAATTGTCTCACTTCATTCCCGTGTTCTGCAGGGTGTGTGACTCAAGATTTCTGTGCGAGGGCGTTGTTCTCCACGTCAGCCACTGCGTAAGTTCTTCGTTGGCCCGGTGCTACTAACCCTAACCTCGCCGAGTTCTGCGAGTAGTAATCTAGACATCTTTCATGTATAGTAGTCTGTGTTAAATTATCATTTATCATCGAAAGTACAAACTCCGATTGTGTTGTAATTTGTTGGCCAGCTGTCTTCGCCAACATGATCAATGACCGTTCCGTAGTTTGAACTTGGGCAGCCATGGCAGGAATTGCACCAAGCATTGGTCATCTATGTTCATTGACTTAGTCAAGAATGTGCAATATCGGCCAGAGTTCTACCGCGGTACGGTACGCGAAGACCATACACTCTGCTAGAAGTGACAAGCATTGTCCAGGCGCCCAGTCACCTCTGGCCATGCCCGGTGATTCCTCGCGGTTCTCTACCAGATTCCGTCATCCCTTGGTCATACCTTGCGAATCTGGCCGGTAATGCGGAACCTGCACATGCCCGACCATACCTTACACCTTTTTGCTGATGTGGGTTCAGACGACAGTCGTAAGCGCAGTGGCGGAAGCAAAGACGAGTAGTTCACAAAAGGACTCAGTCCGATACATAACACGCGATTGAGCGTATGGCCACCTGTAGCTGTAAGTGATCTGCTTTACCTTCCGATTTTCGAAGCTAGACTGTGTCACACTTGTCTCATCGCGGGCACCACCGGTACTACGCTACGTCGAACATCAGAGCCTGATAGTCAGTGGTCATTCCGTTTTGAGCGCCCTGAATGTCTTCCTCCGACGTATTGTAGAATGAGAGTACGGAGAGAACTCAGAGGTGTATAATACGATGATTCGCCGCTGCAGGTCAAGTTTGATCACGACAGGGTCTGATATGTACGACGGTCGAGAAACACGTCTTGAACATGAGATTAGCTATAGTGTAGTGATACAACGTTGTGATAAATGTCAGTGAAGAGCGACCATTTGAAAGCACATGAACTCACGGACTGAACGAGACGATCGGCAGGCTCTCACCCTTCATGGTAGACAAGCTCAATCCTCACGACGTTCTGGATCATCTCTGACCATCCGAGGCTACCAAGCATGACGGGGCCCCAGTCGTCCTTCCCGGTCGTGTGGTAGAAAGTCCCGAAGAGAACCGCATTCCGGGCGAAGGAAGACCCCTCGTAGTGCGAGTTATCGAACGCAACGCCTGGCTCCGGAGGGCTCCAAACGAATGAGACGAACAGCCACTTCATAAAATCCTAGAATCATGGGCTTAATTCTCTGTGTACGAAGGCAGATCTTGGTACGACTTGCCTGCTTGGTCATCTGGGCGATAGCGTCCCTTCCCCACGCGATCTTGATTTCGCGGTAATACACCATGACGTGGGGTACTGGCCAGTGGCCTGTAACAGATACTGAGACGACAATTATAGCTGTGAGCGAGGATTATGCCTCGACAAGAGGAAAGCGCGCACCCACACTGTCCGGTCTCCTCAGTCGCACTCTGGGTGAATCCATAGCCGGTGGTGCTACGGCGGGTGTGACGGGAGACGGCAAATCCTGAGGTAAGGCGACTACGGTGACCGGCCGCTCGGTGGCCGGCTGCTCTTGGGACATGCTGGGCTGTTTAGCTGGCAATTGAGAGAGCAGAAGGTATGTGGGGAGGTAGAGTGACGTGGCGCAGTAACCCCCGCGGTCGCGTCAGGGGACGACGAGAGCTTGTACGTCGTCGTCAAGAGCCATGAAGACTCGGGTGCGGCATGACGTTCATGCGCATGCGCATTGCCTATGGGGAGCTCTTCACCCTCGTCTGTGCACGGGAATCAGCCACGAGGTACTCCAGTCACAGCACGACGTTTGCCGAACTCCCGAAGCAAGCTCAAAAAGGGAGTAGATCATATAAACACCATCCTGCAGCAGGGTGCAATACAGGAGTTCTCGAGCCACAGATTGGATCGACCAAATCTGCAACCAGGAGATCGTCCGGTCGGCAGTGGTATCGCGAAGAACTGCGCCGGAAACGGGAGATCCTGTCAAGGTACGCAAGGCGTAGTCAAGACGACGCTCCAAATTCGAGAGCAAAGCGTCGATTGTCCAGCAAGCCCTGGAGTGGCACCAAGCGTTGAATAGAGTTGGCAGAAGGAACAAAGCGGTCGAGGCGCACTGGCAGGGCCGTGGATGGGAGACTCCGATCAGACTCCGCCGGAAAGTGCCACCGTAGGAGTCCGTAAGTCGCGGAGCGGTGGCTAGGCCTTCAGCAGCCGTCTTCGTCGCTTGGTCTTGTACAACACGTTCAGGATCTGTGGGTGGTTGGGTACACCCCTCTTCTATCCGATACCATCATCTCTCCCACAAAACGCGGGAGCATCGACGCCATCGCCGGTCATAAATCCAACCACACAGGGTCGGACTCAGCCACTTGTGACTTGGGCCTTGCGCTTCCCGCTTACGCTCAACACCCGCTTTAGTCCTCCACGCCTTGTCTCTGCTTCTTGGCACCATTGTTTAAAAGGGCTCTTGTTCAACCTCAAATTCTCTCTGTCTCTCCCCACAAAACGCGTCCCTTGACCTTCTGTAATCTCAACCGCCTTCCCCAACCACCGCTCGCGCCATGCAATCCGAAGACGACCGCATGATGACAGACGACGGCGCGCAGACCCAGCAGCAGACACAGTCTACACAGCAAGCCTCCCAGAACGACTATGTTCTTGATACTCACCTATGGGGCTACCTCATCCCCTGCAGCGCGAACCTGCGCCGGATCGACTTCCAGAAGATCAAGACGTCCTACCGCATCGGTCGCAACCGCGAGGAGCACAAGAACGACATCATCCTTCCGGGCATGAAGATCAGTGAGTCGCGCGGCGCGTCCATACTGCGCTTGTCTGGCGTTTGGCACGACGCGTCCTGACGTGCGCTTTCAGGCAACTTCCATTGCATCATCGAGTGGGATGGCGATGAGACACCCAAGTCCGCAATCAAAGTGACAGATGCGTCGAGTAACGGAACTTTCGTGAGTAGCCATTTCATTCCTGTCACACTCCCTTGTTCATTCGCCTCAAGATCAACGGCGAGAGGATCGGCAAGGGGAAGGTCAAGATACTGCGCGACGGAAACGAGATCGCGTTCGGAACTTCTGCTCCCCAACCGGCGAACGGCGGATTGGAGGACTATCGTGAGTCTATCATCCATCTTCAATTGTCCAGAACGTTCTCCTTAGCCTGTCTGGAGGTTTCGTATATCGCCATATGGCATGCGGTCTGCCCAACCGTGGCTTGCACAAGTACTACGACCTGCAACACGAACTCGGCAAGGGTTCATTCGCCACCGTTATGAAGGCGCTACACCGAGAAGAAGACAAGTGGTACGCCGTCAAGATGATACAGGCGAACAAGCTCCGGCGAAATCTGAGCAATGTGAGCGTGAATGGTGTTCCACCCGAAGACAAGACCAGCAACTTCGCCCGGGAAATCAACATCCTCGAGCGTCTACAGCACAGGAACATCTGCCAGCTGAAGGAAGTGTTCTTCGAGCCTTATAGCATCAGTACGTTATTTGTATAGGAATATCTGCTATCTGCTAAAGGCCCTATCTAGACCTCGTTCTGGAGTGGGTGCCAGGAGGAGACCTCCTCGAATACATCCTCAACAAATCAGGGATATGTAAGCAACTTATTCATGCCTCTTGTTCGTATCTAATGTTCTCATGTAGCGGAACCTGAGGCGCAGTCCCTCACATACCAGATCTGCGATGCGCTTGCTGTGAGTCATGCAGTTCTCTACCGTCATTTTCATCTAACGCGCGTAATAGTATGTTCACGCTCAAGGAATCGCGCACCGAGACCTCAAGCCGGAGAATGTGTTGTTGACTGACGATAGTCCCCCTATCGTCAAAGTCGCGGACTTCGGTCTCGCGAAGGTCATTGATAGCATGACCATGTTACGCGTACGTTTCGTGATCCCTGAAATTCGAGAATCATGCGTTTATATGTATGCACAGACGATGTGTGGCACGCCTGTCTATCTCGCACCAGAGGTCGTGAACCAGGGACCTGACAATGAGGGATATGACCAACTCGTGGATAGTTGGAGCGTCGGTGTGATTGTCTATTCCATGTACGTGTTTTTCTCTATTTACCCGCATGCTTCTCGTTGACGTTCCTTGCAGGCTCACCATGTCCACGCCCTTCGGTGATGAGGATGTGAACCAGGACGTCAAAACACGGGTAGCCAATCGTCAAGTCCAGTGGGACTACCTCCAGGAATGCGGCGCAAGCCCTCTTGGTGAGCACCTTTCCTCGTCCACAAACATCAAGTACCTGATGACGGATACGCACGCCTCAGCGGAGGATTTCATCCGCAAACTTCTCGAGTATGACCCGCGAAAGCGCATGTCCCTCACAGACGCGCGCGACCACCCCTGGCTGGCAGACCAACGTGCCGCCCACGCCGCCTCCGCACCCCCACCATCGGCTCCTGTGTCCGCCCCCGCATCGCAAGCCATAGCTGCCCCTCGGCGTCAAGGGCTCGTCGACGCATCGATGCGCTCGATCATCTCGAATAGCATGTCGCTCGACGATGACGCAGTCATGGACACCGGCCGCATGACGCCCCCATATGTTCCCGGACTGGGCAACGACGAAGTGGCACCCGACCAAATACTGGCGAACGCAATCGAGCGCCTGCCATCCCGCCTCGTGCGCCGGAGCAACTACATCCAGCGCGCGCGAGACATGGGCCAGGACCTCCCCGGCCCGTCGCAGGAGATGCAGCAGCGCGCGGCCGCAGAGGAGGAGGCGGAGAACTTGAATGATCCGCCGAGCTCGCGTGTGAATAAGCGCAAGGCCGCGCTCGACTTTGAGGCATCCCTGACGCCCATGGACGAGGAGGACGAGAATGATGCGGGCGCGGGTGCAGAGGACGACCCAGCGCCTGCAGGAGCGCGTGGGGGACGGACGAAGCGCGGGCGTGGGGGTGCGAAGAAGGTCGTTGCTGGGGCTGCGCCGCCTTCGAGCAAGCGTGGGCGTGGGCGCGCGGCGACGGCCACTCCAGCGGCCAACGGGGACGAGAGCGAGGGCGGGGGGCTGAGGCGGTCGTCGAGGCTGAATCAGGGCTCACCGGTCCCGGTTAAGGTCACGAAGGTCGCACGGCGGATCTGAGGGCGCGCACCTCTCCACATGGCCCCGCCTCGCACTCAAGTTCAGAAGAAGCGAGGCGCGAGGGAGGTGTGTGTCGCGGCCGCGCGCTACGTGGCTTGGTGTGTTGTCGTGTTCTTGGCTTTCCTCGTGTTCTGGTCTGTCGTGTTCCACATGCTTGCTCATCCGGCTACCCGGGGGATGCTTAGTTCCTTGAAGTCATTCCTTTCTGCATACCTGATCTGGTGATTCCCCGGACCCCATCTCCTGTTCTTGTCCTAGTTGCTCTGTTCCTCTCCTATCTTACCACCATCGCCCCCTCATTTCTCCCTCGACACGTTGCCGTCCGCACCGAGCTCCACCAATCAGTCTTCTCACCCCTCTATGCCATCTCCCATCGCCTTGTGTAGTATTGAAGAATCCGAAAACTGACATTATCCCAGCTTTGCGCGTAGCGCGAGCCGTAATACGCTCCTTTGATTACTGTGTTTATATCTAGTCGCGCCGATAGGCTTCTCCACGTGTATTTGGATTACAGGTTGAATAGAACTGCATATAGTGTCCCGTATGTTGATAACTGGACAAATCGTTGGGCGGGTAAGATCTCAAAGAGGGCCAGGACGACTTGTTCGAATCGCGATCTATTACATGAGTGGTCCCGGAGAATAATGGTGATATACAATGCGACTATGCCTAGTGAAAGGATTGAACAAAACTTGGAGGAGAATCATAGTGGTGACAATGCAGACAATGAACAACTACAGAACAAGACGTAGTATACTGATAGTGTGAGAACATGGGGGTGACATATGGGGGCGCAAGCGAGGTGATCACTGAGACAAGAAGCTAGTCCGCAATCATGCAAAGGACAGACAAATGGAGAACACAGGGTACGATCATGGCTGGGTGAACGTTAAAGAACTTGTCAGCGTAAACAATTAGCATCAAGGAAAACGATATGATAGCGATGGCAAAGCAACAGACTAGAAGAAAGCATAGGTAGGATCGCTGAGCAGTCCGCAGGATGCAGACTAGAGCACGGGTATTGCGATGAATGAAGTGATTCTGGATAGGTTGGATGAAGAGGGAAAGCGTGTTCACGGTAGCAGGAAACCAACGGCTTCAGTGGTGATCGGCAGTGCCTTGAGCGAGGGGCGAATGCGCAAAGGGGGGGCAGAGCACGGCGGGATGGGTCTGGTGGTAAGACGTCCCGGGGAACTCGCAGGGCTGACGACGCTGGATGCATTGTCTGAACGGATATCGAAGAATCAGATATCATGTTCGTAGACGAAGGTCACGCCAGAAGCATTATATGAGAAGGCGAAGCCGTCAGTAACACGTCCATTCAGAGATTAGACGGAATCCGAAGAAACGGATAGAACGAGGAAGGTAGCAAACGCGCCGGAGAGTAGGTAAGCTCGGATCTTGTTGACGAAGCCTTTGAGAATGCCCAAATGACCAAGACACGAGCACCGAAATGGGCAAAGTCTCAGATGCAGCATGGGAGCTAGAGATCTCCGTCGATAGCAATCGACAAGCTATTAGCATATTCCGCGAAGCACCACGGTGGCCTGGGGCCACATCATGAGACACGTCCCATGCCGCAGACACACCGCGCGCACTGAACCACCCATACTAAGTGGGACAATGCCTCCGACGATCGCATTAATGACACGCCGGCAATTGCCTCCCGCGAATCAGATATGAAGACCGGAGAGGGATAACGGGAGGAACTCGAGCGTGCAGACTCACCCACATCTCCGCGCCTCGTCGCCCTCCTGCGGACCCCCGCACGCGATCTTGCGCCGTCTGCAGAAAGCGCAAGCCGCCGTTGTACCGCGTTTGTGCGGCCGCTTCGCGCTGGGGAGGTCCTTCGTGAGCTGCAGGATGGGGCCTGCAGGGCCCGCCACTACAGGAATACGGCGCCCCGTTGTCGGTGAGTACACCAATACCTCATCTGCATTGATCGGAGGCGTTGTAGGAGGCGTCGTCGGTGTCCGGGGTGGCCCAGGGGCTGAGAGGCCCAGACCAACCCGCAGTTGCATGAGCTCTGGGAACATCAGCAAACTGCGGCACCATGCTTAGGGTATTAAGAGGTTACTCACGCTCCATGTCGTCTGGGCTGAGAGGAGAGTCTGAGCGAGGCATACACGCCTGGTACTCCCTGCCATTGATAGCACACATGAGCGCATCCCAGTCACCGCCATATTCGGGGAAGCGGAGCTTGTCGAGTATAGCTCCCAGCTTCCACTGCGACGGGACGACGACCGGTTGGTCCTCTCCTTTCACTCGACCTCCGCACGTCATCGTGTCGCCCGAGTCGGCGACACGAGCACGAGCACCCTCGGCGTAGTCGGATCCCGTCTGGTTCTGCGGTGTACACCTCGCGTCAACCTGCCGTTCTCTCCAAGGCAAAGCTGAACAGGGCCTACCTCGAACTGCGCCGAGCACTGCGCCACTGGGCCAGTGTCTCCGCCGGGGTCGTCCCTGTTTCTTCTTTGTTTTGGAAGAACAGAGCATGGGGGTGTCGGCGAAGGAGACGGGATCGGCCTGGGTGCGAGTGCAGATACCGGCGAAGAGTGCTCCGGATATGCGAGGGTCGGAGTGGCTAGAATGCCCATGCTCGTGGTCTCGGTGAGCTTGGGCATGTCTGCGTGTAGATCACAGGGAGGTCTAAGTGAGCCCATCGGAGGAGTGAGGGAGCCCATTGGAGGAGTAAGTGAGCCCATTCGGGGAGTAAGTGAACCCATGGGGGGCTCGTCGACCTCCATCTTAGCGAAGACTTCGGTTGTTATCGGGTTGGCCGTAGTCGCATACGACTCGACATCAGTCGATGGCGTCTGCGTCTCGTCCGCAAGGTAGACATTGGGATCCTGTAGGGCATAATACTTGCTCGATATCGCGTCGGGCGGGAGGTAGTGGAGACAGCCGAACGCAGAGCCGGCATCGAAGTCGCCGTAGTCGCTGAATGCGGCCAGATCTGGCACGCCGTTGGTGTTGTAGCATTTTAGTTGTGGCGGCGCGATCGAATAGATTGGATAGGCGTTGTGCTGTCGATCGACATTGTTAGTAGTCGCCACGAGTCTGGGGAACAGGACGAAGAGCAATCGAGCTACGTACGTCACAATGACCCGCGAAGTAGTGTTCGGGCACTGCGCCAACATAGTGTGGCTGCTGCAAGTTGCCCGACGCCTGGTCCGGGAACTCCTGCATGCCAGTGTACACCTGCGACATATAAGTGTTCGTACAGAATGTCCAGCAGAGTAGGCTAATACAAGAAGCAAGAGGAGAAGGAGTGGAAGGGCGAGACCACGGTCAGCCAAGGCCTTGCTTCTCTAGGACACAGCCGGTAAACACCTGCGTTAGAAGCGTCGTCGAACGTGGACGATGTGATTGCCGTCCCCCGTCCGGCCCTCGAGAATCCAGGCCTAAGACTATCTCGCAAGAAGATTTCCGGATCCCAAGGCTCTATACGGCTCTACTGCGACAACACTAGGTCCGCGTTCTTGTGCGCGCCAGTTAAGACCCGTTCGGGCTGTTGAGCACGTCATCACTAACCACGATCGTCCACGATCGCGCTGCTAGCAGTGAGTACCAGGTGGGGGTGAGTGATATCCATTGGTCGAGGATGGTGGGACTAGCGATAGGCGTCGGATGTGTAACCGCGAAGGGGATAGGAACTGGCGATCAGGACATTTGATTCCGAGATCTTCGAATGCCTCGCGAGGGCGGGGGAGAACCGATTTGTCGTAGGCATTGAATCCGTCGGTCGCGTGGCCTGCCCCACAGTCCGGGTACCGTACACGAGCCAAAGCGTAATTCCATTCGAGTAAATGCTCCCTGGCTTCTCGGGTTTCATCGTGGCTGGCCCGCGCACCCCTAGTCCCTTTCCCAGAGCTGTGTTCAGGGCTTCCGTAGCCCACAAGGTCTCCAGCCCAACACGGACCGGCTCTGTTTGCTGCTCGAAATTATCTGCCAGTTGGCATTGTACAGCTGTACCAGAGGCCTCCATCAGCAAATTGTGCAAACAATGGTCATCCATGACCACGGCGCCCGAAACTGGCCTCCCCTTTCCGGAAACCGCAAGCGCCTACTAATTACGGCCAACTCCCATCTCGTCCGACGGACTCTGGCCATTGAGCACCTGCGCGGATGGATCCCGGCAATGCTAGGTAAGTATTCATCTTGCGCTATTACTTCATACCACTCAATCGTCATTAGAGAATCATCGAGGCTATGCAAAGCGCCCCGCTGTACCACAGCCGCCTCGGCACTCCTCACTAATATCTCTCTTGTCCCTCTCCCGAGCGCACTCCTCGTCCTGCTCTCCGCCTCTGCACTCTCCGCCTGCTGCTCTGCGACTCCCAGTGAGCTCTGTCTCTACGCTCCTGCTGCTCCTGCGCCGTGCGCCGGGGTCCTGAGTGTGAATTCGCACAACTTCTCCACCACCGTAGTTATGAGGCAGAAGTGCCGTTGCACGTAGAGCGGGGATTAGCACGGAGCGGTCAGATGTCCGCCTGATAGTATATTGTCCGCACGCATGACCCGTGTGCAGGGAAAGCAGAGATACTGGACCAGCGTCCTCGTCAAGTACTGGGCTGACGGCAGGGATGTGCGGGTCGACGCAACCGTTGACCAGGTTTACAGGTATAGTAAACCCGTCGACATGTCGACAAGGTGAACGGTACACTTTCGCACGCTCACGCGCCTGTCGGCGACCCAGCAACTTCGACGTTTTCACCCGTTCGTCTCAGCGCCCAATTCACCCGTCTGCTCGTCCTCCCCGCGGTCTGAGTTGTCGAACTCTCCCCACTCATCCGTTTGACATCAAACATTGCACAACAGTTTCCCAAGCATCTCTGCTATCTGTTAATAATCTCAAATCAGCGCTCCGATCCCTACAACTGTATCACCAACCCACTTTCTTCCACCTACCCTCTCATCTACTCTCGCCGCTCCCCTTTGTCAGTGCAGCAACTATGTATCATATTCCAAGTACTGCACTAGTGAATGCATCTGGCTGGTTCCCCCATGCGCCATCTATTGTCTCCGAAGTCTCTGTAGCGGGCTCTCCATCGGCATCCATGTCCAATATATTCCATACCTCGAGCTCTTCATCTAATGATGCCGTCATGTCGGAATCTTCCCTCCGTTTCTGCCAGTAATGACATGAGAAGCCGAAGAGCGATTCGAGCTTGA